GTCATACCTGATTCAAAAAAATCTCCAAGTCAAGTCAAGTCAAGTCAAGTCACGTCATCATTCATTCAATAAATTTCCAAGTCAAGTCATACCTGATTCAAAAAAATCTCCAAGTCAAGTCAAGTCAAGTCAGACTTGACTTGACTTGGCTTGATTCAAGTCAAAAATGACTTGACTTGCCCATCTCTGGAGAGATGTGGCGTAGGTCACTCCATGACACTTACGATGACAGAAGTCTTGTACATGTCGTTCTGTAATACTGACAAAAAGGTGCGTGATTTATGTTACTTTGTAGCAAGAACTAATGTTTTAGTTGGCCAAAATACATTAATAGATTATGATCAATCGAACGTCTGTTTGAGGTTCATCGAAAGCTGACATTCTCATAGCCAATTATGGTTTTCAGTATCCGTGGTATTCTTCGGACGAAATCAACTCCCAAAAGTGTACAAAACTGAGACAAAGTACAGTTGAATCAGGTGTGGGTGTGAGCATGACTAGATCAGAAACAGACACCAACAATCACATACTCAAAGTTTCAGTCGGTGAAATTCATGTTAATCAACACTACAGAGACACTTTATAAGGGTGTGGGTGTGCTTCTTTCCTTTTTACACCCACACCCACACCCCACCCAAATGTTCTGGGGCAGCCCAGATTCACCATCACCATGAATAAAGTGTGCTATTGTGGCGGTGGAAGGAAGTATCAAACTAGTGTGGTTTAGATGCAACTACTCTGTAGTTTTACAAGCTCTTGCAAATGATGAATGTCAGAACCTTCTACGTTTCCGATAGGATAAGCGATAGCCCAATTATGGTGGGATTAGCCCATATGCAGTGGAGGGCTGTTTTGTGGTGCTAAACCTACTAAAAGCTGATTTTTCGAGCTAGAAATCAGTCAAGCGAAACGGGAGCATTCCTCTCATCGAAGTAGGTCGTTTTCACTGAAAAAATATTGTGGCCTGAAATACGACCTTAGACGTCTCCATCCTTTCCGAGAAAAGACTACAATAACACACTTTGTGAGCTTGAAACAGGGATCTGTCGCATTTTTTCGTATTGGTTTTTATATGACAATAAAGCTTTTTCATTGGTCTTCCAAATGCACACAAAATCAATTTGTGGTGAATCTATCTAGGCAGGATATTCCATGAAATACTAAAATTTTTGCAGTCGAATATTTGCATCAAATTTTTATATTTTGAGCTTGTAAACCGCAGTAGAGCATGGACTTGGTACGCCATATTACTAGTTTTATGGAGCCAATTTTTCTGCATCGAATGGTATATGGCACGAATCGAATCAGCCAACATTTAGAAAAAAGTGTGTGGATGAACGGAACGTTATAAAAAGTTAGTCATTTTCTCACTTGAGCTGAAGTAGTCGTCAGTGTGGTTTTCACAACTCGGCATAGGTTTAGTGAAAAATTCTAATATTTTGGATTTCAGCATAAATTTGTGTGAGCTTTCGGTTCAATATAAAAAGTAGGGGGTCCATTTTTTCGGGATGACGGCGATGCTCGATCGACTCGTGGACCGCTTCTTAAAAATCTTAAATCACAAGAAGTGTCAGAAAACAAGAGAGACACTGGTATGGACTAATTGCTGTACTCCCCTCCAGGAATTTTGGAGTCAAAAAACCTTTTGTTATTTTTGTACCATATTTTTATACGAATGTATAGAACATTGTGTGCTAATTGTAGGTTGATAAAAATTTTCTTAGCGAAATGACGAATGAGGTCAGAAAAGCGTAGCATTATGTCTAGCGGGGTACTCGTAATTGTTATGAGTGGGCTCTTCATGTTTCTATTGGTGTTTTTCAGCAAATCGTTTTGAAGAGCGGAAAATTTGGGTGGATACTTTACCCAACAAGTTCTATACCATCTTAATGTTAGGAAACGTAGAAGAAATGACCACATTTGGTCAAGATCCTAGACGTTTTCTTAAAATTTCCTGACACTAAGAATTCATCGAGAAAGATAAAAGATGTTGTAAAGGATCTTATCAAGATTTGATTCATCACTTGCTACACAATAGCTCTTGCAAGATTTTTTAGGATCCTGCGAAGATCTTATCTCAGGCTTCGGCAGGATCCTGCTATACGCCTAATTAAAATTGAAAATATTTAGTCACAAGTTCCTATCAAGTTTCTTATAGGATCCTATTCTCACTGCTAACACAATCCTGTTCTTATATTAGTAGCCAGAAATGAGGATCTTGAGAAGGAAACTTCGAAATTCTCAATACGACTGTAAAAAGAACGACGTCCTCAATGAGAATCTTGAGATTGTCTTGTTAAGATCCTGCTGTTTCTTAACAAGATGTGACCAAGAGTGATATGGAATTTCAAAAATGACGCCCTCAACAACTGGCAAGTACTCATGGTCAAACTTTAGATATTGCATCAAGATCTGCTAAAGATTCTGTTCTCTAGGATCTTGTCAAGATCCCGCCCTCAGTCACCCAAAAATGTTATATTTTTAAATTATGAACCACTGTCAATTTTCAACAAGACCTCATTTAGGATCATATAGAATCCTAAATAATAAGGGACCTGGATTTCATCATTGACAAGAACTAATTTGAAGTGGAAAGTAATAGCAACCCAATTTTCATGCATTTTAAAATGTGATTCTACTTACAACTCCGGACAAAAGTCTTCTCCCCCTCTTTTTTTCTATGCCATAATACTTAGCATCAAATTTATTGCCGAGTAGAGATATGACACGAGAGTTTTATTTCGGTGTGATCTATACGCCGTATTGCAATAAAACTCTCATGTCATATCTGTACTGAGTAATAAATTTGATGCAAAGTATAGCAGCATAGAAAGACAAAGAAAAAAAGACTTGTTCGGGGTGTAATAGTCAGCCATGATTAAATTTTTGTTAATATATTTTGAATGTTTGATCACTTGACGAACCTAGCCCTGGGCGTGGGTGTTGGTGTTGGTGTGGGTATCGGTGTTACTGTGTGTGTGGGTGAGGATGTGGGCGTTGGTGTCAATGTATCGTGTTTCCTATTTTTCACTCATAGCCACAATCATGCACACCCACACTCACACCCACACCCACACCCACACCCAATGTTAAAAACGTCGAGTGCATAATACCGATATGTACGATGATCCAAGTTAGCAATAGAGTTGCTCTCTTTGTTTACTTACATGTTGTTGAATGTTTACTCCTACTCATGCGACCATTTTCATTTCATCATTTTTTTTTCAAAAAAGAAAATGATGAAAGAAAGAACAGGAATGTTTTCAAGTAGCACATTGCACAACATTTGTGCAATACCGTAACATACTATAAAAAGCGACTTTCATTTTCTATTTCTTCGGTTTTTAGTGTAGTGGTATCATACCTGGTATTCTTCCGGGAGACCTCGGTTCGATTCCGAGCAAATCCACCAAGCTTTCTTCGTAATTTCTCAAACTTTCTAGTTCGAGACAATATGCACCGGCTTCCAGTTCATGTCATACTTTGTAGCAGCTCTACCACCACTTTCTATTTAGAGAGTGCTCTTGAGCTTGTGTGATATGTCTGATTGCCACCAAGTACTGTATGTTTGCTCGTCTCATTCGTTTGAATATTAAATACGAACGATAATGCATACAGTTGGTGGCATGAATATTCAGACTTTATCGACGATGATCGTTTTAGAATGGCATACAAACGCTGCCTCGGTAATTTTCTTGATGTTATTGTCGTAGTCAAAATAGTGTGGTTCTCCAATTTTCAGCTGTACGTTTCTTAATGTGTACAGTTACACAATCGAAGACTATTAGTTTGCATCAATAAAAAAACAGTCGCATGCTACCGTATCATTACCATTTAAAATAATTCATAGTTTTTATGTTACAAATATGAAGGTTAATGACGATATGCAAAAGTTATGATGGTTAGTCATGCTGATTGGAACTTATATATTAAATAGATATTTTTAAATGTCTGCCTCCGATCAACAATAATCATCATCTTTTTAACGGAAAAACCCTTATCATATAAGTAATATATAACATGAGTAACAAAAAAAACATTCAATTAATCCTCATTCATTTGGTTGAATTGAAAGACGATAGCCACAGCTGTAATAACTCAAATGCTAAGAAATTAGTTTAATAAAAATCAGTCTGAATCGATCGTTACTAATATGAATATTTATTTAAAAATTTGAGTTCTTTTTACGTTAAAAGTTACCAATGAAAAGATGTCTATCTATGCAAACATATAATTTATTTAGAAGAAAAAAAATATTTTCAATTCTATAGGTTGATGAATCAAGAGCAATAACATACTGTTTCATTTCAATCAGCACATTGTTTATAGTGAGACATTTACTTTCTCATGAAACTTTGTGCAATTACCAAGTGAATCATCCACACACGTAAAAAAGAAGCTGATGTAATGTGCGTAGTTTTTAGTCACTTCTTTTCTCTCAGTCAGAGAAAAGCGACGTGTTAATATTTACTTTCATTTGCGCAGAAGAAATTTTGACAAAGGAATGGCGCAGTTTTGTTAACGACAAGTGTAGGTTCTCACTAACTCCAAAAAAAGTCAACACAAATTAACGATTCCACACTGTAAAAAAAATTCGTGGAATAATAAACCCTAGTACT